AAAAAAAGGGACCAGCAGATGGCGTAATGGTTACATTGCTGGACTTCCATGTAATCGACTGTGGTTCAAGTCTTGGATCCAGTGGCTTAAACCTCACGCTGGGCATATGTGCGTGTGTGCCCAAGAGGAGAATGGAGGAGAAGGGATTGTGGTGTGGCTATTCCCCCGGGTGGTGATTCTCTATCTCTCCGACAAGTGCACGCAACCTATAGCAAAAATCTCTTTTTCTCTCAAAAAAAAAAAAAAAAAAAAACCCAAAAAACAAAAAACAAAAACAAACTTCTCTCATGCTGAAAAAAGTGAATCATGGGGCCAGCAGGTGGTGGAGGTGTTACATGGCTGCACTCCCACGTGGCCGCCTGCTGTTTGAGTTCTGGACCCAGTGACTTGAAAATCATGCTGGATGCATTTGTGTACATGCCCAACAACCTGGGAGGAGAATGGAAGAGAAGGGATTGCACTGTAGCAATCACCGAGGGTAGGAGGGTGGAGGGTGGGGGTGGGGGGTGATTTCTCACTTTCCTTCTCATTGTCTCTGTCTCTGTCTCTCTCTCGAAAACACATGTGCCCTATGGCAAAAAACCTCTAAAAAGTGTTAGTCCTCTTCATAATTTCAATTCCTGTCCTGGTACCAGGTATTATATTAGGTATTCATTGGTATGAATGAACCTTCAGTGGCTGCCCATACCATTCAGTAATTACCCATACCATTCAAACTGCCAGGCCTAGGATTAGAGGCCCTCTCACAGGCCTCTAATGTATACTACTACTATCTGCATACTCCAGTTGATTTGACATGAATCCTTTCATTTTAAACCATTTGATTTAGATAAGTTTTCTTGAAGTTATGCTTATTTGTACTTTCTACTTATATTAATACTGTTCTTTTGCTTGGAATATCCTTCAGTTCAAGAACAAACATTCAAACACTGTGCTATATGCTGGGGATGAAAGAACACAATCCAGGGGAACCAGCAGTTAGCGTAATGGCTATGTCACTGGGCTCCCACGTAGTCGACCGCGGTTCACGTCCTGGACCCAGTGGCTTAAAACTCACGCCGGGCGCGTGTGTGTGCGTGCCCAAGATCCCGAGAGGAGAATGGAGGAGAAGGGATTGCGGCGTGACCATCTCCCCTGGGGGGGTGATTTCTTGCTTTCTGTCTCTATGTCTCTGTCTGTCTGTCTGTCTGTCAAGCGCACGCGCCCTATAGCGAAAAAAACCTCTCCAAAAAAAAAAAAGAACAAGCAAAATCCAGACCCATCCAGAAACAATGGGGACTAATAAAGAAAATAGTAAATTATAATAGAAAAGCACAGGGTGTTCTGGGGGGCATGTGTTAAAAGTTGCACAATAGGTTGAACAAAAAGGTTGATTATTACATATCAGATGAAACTGGAAACTATAAATGCAATCCAGTAAGAATAAACAGTTGTACAAATAGGAAAATAAGGGGAAACCAGATTCAGCTGGTAGAACCTACCTTTCTCCATGCTAAAATCTGAGCGGACATGAAAGACTTTACTTGCTGGAATGTCTAGCAAAGTATTACTGAACTGTACATGGCACAGCATGAGGGTCTCTGGGAGAAGTACCTTTGTAATGGCCGAGGCCTGATTTTGGGTACAGGATCCTAATAAACAGAAAAGAGGTAAATATCACTAACAAGAATTTGTAAAAGGAGGGTGCTGGATGGTAGCATACCGGTAAAAACGTTCTGGGAGGCTGACCCATGTGATAGCTTCCATGTTCCTGTCCGAAGACCTTCCTGAACAAGCCAGGTCCATGTATGCCCATAATTGAGGGTTGGCTGAAGATGGAGTGGTTCATGGTGTGAAGACCCATTGGGGGCACCTGTCTCTCTGTTCTCTCTGTCTCTCTCATTCAAGGAAGAAATAAACTTAAAAACAAAACCAGAATTTGTAAAAGTAGAGCCCATTATAGAGAGGCAATTTGGTATCATTAAAAAAAAAACAAGCAAGATGGGGCCAGCAGGTGGTGTGGTGGCTTAGGCACTAGACTCTCACATGGTGGACAGCAGTTCGAGTCCCGGACATGATGGCTTGCTGTCTCACTTTCTCAGTTGCCCTCTCTCTTTCTGTCACGTGTCTTCCTTTTTTTTTTTTTTTTTAAGAATGATTTCTTTTACTAGGGGATCTGCAGTGGCAGCAGCCGGAGGTTCGGCCTTTGGGGCCTGCTGGCAGCGGTGGGCAGGGCAACCCATGATGCAGTTTTAAGGCTTCTGGATCCCACATGGCCAGCTATGCAGTTTGAATCCTGGACCTGGTGGCTTGAGATGCTGGGCCTGTGTACATGTATGCCCAAAATCCTGAAAAGGAGGGAGAAATGAAGGAAAAGGAATATTGGCGGGACCATTCCCTGAGGTACACCAGTGCTGCATTACTGTGAGCTTTCAGAACTTCTGGAGAGACTACAAGGTTCTGGTTGTTATGGTACCTTTGGTTGGACTCATTCATTTGGGGTAGCATAGAAATCAAAAGCAGCCCTGTTTCCAAATACCCAGTAAGGACGACATTTCTGAGCCAGGTAGTCTGGCACTTGCAAGTCTACAGAAGAGCCAAATCCGGGAACCAGCAGTTAGCGTAATGGCTATGTCGCTGGACTCCCACGTAGTCGACCGTGGTTCGTGTCCCGGACCCGGTGGCTTAAAACTCACGCCAGGCGCGTGTGCGTGCGTGCCCAAGATCCTGAGAGAATGGAGGAGAAGGGATTGTGGCGTGACCATCCCCCCTGGGGGGTGATTTCTCGCTTTCTGTCTCTATGTCTCTCTCTGTCTGTCTGGCGAGCGCACGTGCCCTACAGTGAAAATCTCTCCAAAAAAAAAAAAAAAGAAGAGCCAAATCCAAGGGAAATAGAAGACTGGCAGTCCTCAGAAAGAAGCAACTTTGAATCTGAGTTTGATATTGAAAGAAGGGATGAGAAACACCAGTTGGATTAGAAAGAACTGGCTTCTTGTAGCCGGGGTGTCTTTCAGAGGTGTCCATTTTACATTATACAAAGAACTGCAAAGCATTCTGTAAAATCTCAGTGTGGAGACAAACAAAGAACATTGAAGAATGTAATAAAATAAATATTTGGAAAAAGAATAACTATTTGAGACCAGCAGTTGGTATAATGGCTATGTCGCTGGACTCCCGTGTAGTTGACTGCGGTTTGAGTCCCAGACCTGGTGGCTTAAACTCATGCTGGGCACATGTGTGTGCGTGCCCAAGATCCGGAGAGGAGAATGGAAGAGAAGGG